AGAGAGAGAGAGAGAGAGAGAGAGAGAGAGAGAGAGAGAGAGAGAGACAAAACAAAAACAAAATCGTGTACCCTGTGACATTGGGGAATGTTAAGAGATGTGATGTTATGATTAAAATATTTCATATTTTGGCATCCGCACTAGGCTCCAAAGGCTACAAAGAGAGTACCGCAAATGTACAATCGACTCAGCGCACTTACCATACAGCATTTCAATTGGGGCATGACCCGTTACACAATCTATTATATAGCGGCTATCTGTATATGTTAATTGATTGCGTTGATTTTGGCCAACGAATTCTACAGGTTAAAATGATTAAGAAATGGGAGATACCACTGCACATAACGATTAAATTTAACGATTCTGTCCTTTGTGTACATGAAAAAATTGTTGTCCATTTCATCTTATTGATTTATTCAGCGCGCACAGATGCTAATCATGGAGCGCTAAAAAATGGATTCTCGACCTTCATTACGTTTGTCGTGTGATTTGAAGAAATCTTCTCCCGAAGCCCACCAAACGCTTTTACAACTTTATGGTGATGCGGCTCCAGCATATCCCAATGGTCAATTTCGGTTTCAACTCCTTAAAAGTGACGATTTTGATGTCAACAATGGCAACAAATGATCATAGTGATGGAGATTTCGTAATACCATCCTTTCTGCTCTTTCCTCTTTAATTTGATAGGTGTGACGTTGAAATTTTCCGTCACACAAATAGTTTATTAATCTTCCATATACAATAGATTTCGTTAATATTTTAACTTGCAACAATGATAGTTGAAAAAGCGGTTATCATCCGTTTTATATCACGAACGTAAGGAATTACGTTTTGTGGCAGCTTGGGAGGGACTGCTACATCATTCATTCATTATTCCCCCGTTGACGATGCTATCGGTTGCAATATAATTTTTAGAAGAACGAATCGGAGAACTGATATTAACAGCTCTTGAGTGGCAGCGGTCGCTGTTGAGTCAAACTAGATATTATGTGTGGATTGCATGCATCTTTTGCTAAAATAAGTTTTAGTAGAATAATTTTGCTTACGATTGTTGCAGCGAGTCACCCAGTCGCCCGGGAGGCGCCAATTCGTTACACTGCATTATTATTCGATTTTCTATTGGCTCGATTGAAAAGAGAGCGTATATGTACGTATATGTATACATTTCTTAAAAGTTGCAGGGGGAATGTTAAGGTCGTTCATTTTGTGTCTTGCAGAAATGGAAAAAGTATCGAATATTACAACCTAAACAAAGGTTGTTGCATTTACTAATTCCAATCATAGGTGGTTTGGGAAATATTTTGTAATAAAAGTTCCTCAGCTGGCTTTCGTGTATAAGCATTTTTACTGCATTTCAATTTTAGTAACGTTTTTGCGGCTTTCAGTTTGACCTTCAGTGGGGAAAGGTAGACGTATCCCAGTTGTTGCGTTTTTAGTTAAGTTAACGTATGGTTCAGTTGATTCCCCTGCCTTACTAGTAGAGAAAAATTTTCGCATCCTTTAGATACTATCAAATCAATCCTTTTCACGCTAGACATGTTGAGTGCGTCTTTTTCATACTTTTTATAGTTATCGCGAAAGGACGAGCGGTACATTGATTTTGCTGGAACGCTTGCAACGCCAAGAAGTCAACTTTCGAAACCTAACAAAGTGTGATATATTCTTGACCAGCACCAAATTGCGAATCGATTTATGCATGTCCATCTGTCCGTCTGATTAATGTCTGTTGTGTGTGAGCTTCGTGGCCGCAGAAATTAAGCTATGGCCATCAAATTTAGCAGAAACATTGAAGTTCTTGCACGCACGTTGGTATTGAAAATGCGCCATTTCGGTCGAAGGACACGTCTATAGTACCACTTAAGCCGAGAATACCTCCGTTGTTTAAAAGAAATAAAAAATTTGTCTCTTGCTTATTATTACTCATAAACTACAACAGATAAATCTACAGAAATTTGAACGTATGGGCGATGCTGTAGTACTTCCATAAAGATGGAAAAATTTGAGTTTTCCTTCAATGCCTCTCTAAATTTTTGTGCTTGCCTTCTCCCTTGCATCTATACTGACCGTGAGTGTGTCGCTATGCTAAAAGTTTCCATAATTGTTTTCTTCTTCTGCTTCTCTTCTCTTCTCATTTTCTAATTTATTTATGCATGGATTTGATCCTGTTTTTTTGCTTCTTCATTCGTTTACTTTATAAAAGTAAGTCGTAATGTTTAGCTTAAGATTAATTTTTAAGAGTCTACTGCCCACATGTAAAAAGCGTTCAGGTCGTCCTTTAATCGTTGCCCTCTTACTCATACAGATGGCAGTTTTTGATGCATTACTGAATGAATATTTGCTTCGAATCACACTTTTTGGTGTTTGCCCGTACTTCGGTTATCAAAGTTCCAAACAGTCAGCAAAAGCAAAAGCAAAAGCAAATTTGAAAGCAAAGGCATCAAACATAATTTTTGCTATCGAAATTCGTAGCTGCCGTGATTTTTTCATCTCTTCGATGTCTTCGAATTTCTTTTTTGATTTGGTTTGTGTCTAAAATCATTGGTTGTCATGTTGGAGGGGGGGTGTGGTTTGACACCAAACTCCAAGAAATTCGATAGTTCTGAAGAAACTTGTATACCACTTGGAAAGATTATAGAAACTGCAGCATTTTAGCCAACGTCGGTCATGTCGAATTTATTAATGGACATAGCTCAAGAAATCAGCAAAATTTGATTTTTTCATGTATTAGATGCTTGCAAAAATATTGGTTGTTTTTTCATTTGACAAAATGGGTACAATGTCTGTTAATCAAAATATTTTCCATCATTTTCTGAAGGATTTTACCATATTTCTGGCAAACAAGGCGATATAGTGTGCAAAGAACTTATATTGGTTTGGCAGCGATCCACCCATCGACCCATTTTCGCACTTCTTCGACTTTGCGTAGCCGCGTGCCAACCACCCATGCGGCATCGATCTGAGCCACCGGTTATCAGGATATTTTTCAGTTGCACAAATTAGACTTTGTCGCAATAGGAGGGTTTGCATTCATGAGAGTCCATATAGGTGGTGCGACCTAAAATATTGATTTATATTTTTTTGAATTTTCTATAGTTGATTTCCTAAGGACAAATTAATCCTTTTTGACAGATAAGGCCTCATTTTTCATTAGAATTCTTATCTGTGTTGGAATCCATAAAATAAATCTACATGGTCCAAACTAGGTAAGGTTAATATTTTCAATAAATTACTATTACAAAGCAATTTTTCCCATGACATATAGAAAGTCAGTGCTTTTTATCCTACAAATGTTCACTTGCAGTAGAAACGGTTGCACGGGAGAGGTGGCCCGTCCGATCTAAATTTGCCGATATACTATTACTAAGTGTTTTTTTGTTGCTGTGAAATTCTCATAATTGCAATGACTTTTCAAGATAAGAAAAATTGATCCGATCCGAGCCATTTTTAATGGCCTTCGAAAATTGCGACCAGTAAATTGAAGACGAAGAATACATGGGCGAGCATCAGACGGACAGACGGACAGATAAGCTTATCAGAAAATGACTCTGAATTGATCAGTATAACAAAAGGCGAGTCTATCTCAAGTCCTTCTGAGCGTTACAACTACGCTCTGTACCGCAAGAAAATCATAATCGGCTATGGCTGAGTCTTTCAGAGGGTTTTGGAAAGGCATTATAGAATGATGAATGGTTTTCTCCAACCCTTAAATACGATTGGGTCTTTAATGTATGTATGCGCATTTTTCTATAGTCAAAATAGCTTTATGTGCTATATTGCGCCTTATATTCTCTTGATTTTTTCCATCCTTTTGTTTGTATG